AGTAAAACGATATAAAAACTGTGGTCTTAGAGCTCCGATGCTACAGGTCCCATGCATGTCAGACAACTAGACGTTTGTCTAACCAGCCCAGAACCCTGGTGCAAAGTGGTTCATGCTCTTGGCTGCTGACCCAGGCCAGCGATCAGGACCCACCAACCACTCCGAGGGAGAAACACGTGGTGGTCTACTTCCATAGAGGTCTGCAGAGCTGACACACAGGGGAGCGGAGCGGCGCTACTCTGGAAGGCAGGGTCTCTGAGTCACAATCAACTCAATGGCAGTGGGTTTGGGTCTCCAGAGACAACACTAATTACCCCAGGGCAGTGCCTGAAACGTTAACTGCAAGTCTGGTGCCCCTCTGCATCTACGGCAGACCCCTGCACTGTAAGGAGCAGAGATGCCCTCTCTCCAAGTAGACACTCACTTCGTCTCCCACACTCACAGAAGATGATGTCCACACCCCTAAGGTCTTGGCTGTCCCTGGGGTCCAAGTCAATCCCAACTACCACACCCTGTGGAGACAGGGGTGTCAGACTTGTTCTGTTCACTGAGCTATTCCCGGACCCCAAGAAGGTCCAGCCAATGACAGCTCTTCAATAAGCATGGGTGGGTGGGGGGAGGGTGGGGGGATGATGGGTGGGTGATGGAAGGAAGGGTCTCCAAGTCAACACTATAGCTTATGTTTGAGCTGTGTGCATGACCCAGCAGGGCACGTCAGGCAGCCAGGGGCCCCACCTCCTGTGGGCAGCACCCAGGGAAGAGCCTGTGGTAAACAGTCTCTCCAGCCTTTCGGCCCCCAGGACCCTCACTTCCCTGAAGCCCTCCAGCCCCCTCACTGACACGGCAGACAAACAAACGCATCCTGGAGCAGTAGTAACGTTGGCGGGGGGTTTCCAAGATCACAAGCCTATTTTCGGAATGGGCCTAAGCTTTGCTGGCGAGCTCCACCAAACCATGGGGCGTGGTGTGGCGCTGTAGGCTAAGCACTGGGTGGTTAGCCACAAGGTTGGCAGTTCAAACCCACCAGCCCCTCCCGGGATACGCTACGCAGAGTCGGAACCATAAGGAACCGTGGTGGGGTGTGCGCTAAGTGCTGACCGCTCTGCCGACCCCCAGTCCCTGCTGGGCAGCTCGGCTTGGGTGGAGAGAGCAGGCGTGGGAACCCTCGTGGCAGGTCCACTCTGTTCTCGACGACTGTGGCTCTATTTTGGGTTTCCACCAAACGCTGCCGGGCTGCCTGCTCTGCTGTGTCACGGACACCGCTGGGTTCCCGCGGCCCGCCTTTACCGCCACTGCAGGAATCTGGCCGTTCCAGCACCCCCGCATGCCGGACCCCCGACCCCTGGCCCCACGCGCCCCGCGGCCGGCGCACGTTACCTGCGGAGCCCGGCCCGGGGCGCCCTTCGGGGCCGCCACCCTCCGCCATGGGCGCTCGGGCATCTGTGCGTCCACAGGCGCGCCGCCCGCCAGTCCGTAGCAATACCACCAGCCACTTCCGGTGCCGCCAAGGGGCGGGGCGGGGCGGGACTTCCGGGCAGCCTGCTTCCTGTCACGTCGGGGCGGGCTTCCGGTGCAGGAGCGTACGGGACGGGGCTGGTGGGCGCTGGGTGGTCGGCGGCGCGTCCTCCAGCTGTTTCTCCAGGGGGCGAGGAGGAGTCTGGGAAAACACGCCCAGCTGTGAGTGGGTTCACCCGGAACCTAATTTACATGCCCCTGGGAACTCTGGGTGATCCGCAGAAGCGGGGTGTCCCGGGACCGGGTTCGTGTCGAGTCCTGCGGGACCCAAGCCCAGCACTGCTGTGTCCCCCCTGCGCAGCCACGAACCGTGACAGCCCCAGAGGGCGCATTTGCAGGCGGGAGACAGACGTGGTACTCAGCCCGGTACCCCCTTACCCCAGGGGCTGGACATGCCATGCCCCGAAGGACGGCAAGGCTGGGATCCTAGCTGCTCCGCAGCACAGTGTTTGTGGGTGAATAGAGTAATAAGCTACCAAACAAAACCACCTGGACACGCCCAGGTTCAAAAGCTCCATCACTAATGAGGTGTATTGAGTGGGAATTGTAAGTATGCGTTCTCTGTCTCCAGATGCGCACCCCTTAGAGTGGGCTCGGTGCAGGGGCGCGGAGGGATTCAGGAGAGGGGGAGACCTGTTCTGCAGGGAGAACTGAAATGCCTAGTGTTGGAGATGGGGTCTGCAAACACGGTGCCAAGGGCCCTAGCCATCGTGGGCACGGCCCTGGTGCAAGGGGTGCGTTGATGTGGCCTTCCTAGCCATAGTCTTAGACCCCTGCTGCGGCACTGTGGGATCAGCACTGGACTGCCAACCGCAGTGTCCATGGTGTGAACCCACCGGACGCTCCGTGGGAGGCAGATGAGGCTTTTTGCTCCGTGGGAGGCAGATGAGGCTTTTTGCTCCTGCAAAGCTCACTACAGCCTGGGAAACCCTATATATAAGGGTCGCTTATGAGTCGGCTAAAGACCTCTGGTAGCATAGTGCTTACGAATCAGGCTGCTAACCTCAGGGTCAGCAGTTCGAAACTACCAGCTGTTCCACGGGAGAGAGATGAGGCTTTCTGCTCCCGTAAAGAGTTTCAGCCTCAGAAACCCTGTACAGGGTCGCTATGAGTCGGAACCGACACCACGGCACATAACAACAACAAGGAGTCAACTGGATGGCACTTAACAAAACTTATAGGCTTATATATAAAAAACCCACTGCCACTGAGTTGATTCCAACCCAGAGTGTAAAGGCTGTAACTCTTTAAGGGAGCAAAAAGCCTCGTCTTTCGTTCACACTGTCTGCTGGGTTTGAGCTTCGGACCTTGCAGTGATCAGTCCAGAGCTTACCCTGTAGTACCACCAAGGCTTTTGCATCTTATGTATATGGGTCCTGCCAAATGATTGGGTGGAACTATGCAAATACGGTGCTTGTGACCCATCAAGCTGATTAGTCAGTTTACTAATAATAAAAATCAATGTGTGAAGCCCTAAAGAGGGGATCAGTCCGTTTTCCCATCCTGTTAGACTTAAAAGAATTCATCTCAGATATGAACAGGAAGACCGCACTATTATCAAGAGTAGTGAAGTACATCCTCTGAACCCAGGGTTTCTGTACTAAGAACATTCTAGACCCAGGAGACAGCTGTGCCAGAGAAGATTCAAGATGGCAAGAAGCAGTGTCAGAGAAATTGTAGCATCAGAACCAAGAGGCTGCCATAATGGAGCTGTGAGCTCCCAGGCTCACTTTCCAGTGGGTATGCTGGCCCACCCACCACTCATCTGTCAGTTTGTCGTTCTGTGGTGGCTTATGAGTTGCTGTGATTCTGGAAGCTATGCCATGGGTATTTTAAATACCAGCAGGGTCACCCATGGTGGACAGGTTCCAGATGAGCTTCCAGATGAAGACAGACTAGGAAGAAGGAGTGACTAGTTCTGATTATTTAGTCACTGAAAACCTTATAAATAGCAGAGAAAAACTGTTACGTATGGTGCCGGAAAATGCGCCTCACAGGTTGGAAGGCACTCAAACTGCGACTGGGGAAGAGCTGCCTCCTCAAAAGTACAGTTGACAGTTATGACGCAAATGGAGTAAAGCCCATGGTACTAAAGCCTGCGGGACCTTCATTTGCTGATAGGGCACAACTCAAAATGAAGAGAAATAACCGTAAACATCCATTAAATAATTGGAACATGGAATGTACGAAGTATGAATCTAGGAAAGTTGGAAATAGTAAAAAATGAAATGGAACACATAAACATCATTTAGGCATTAGTGAGCTGAAATGGACGGCTATTGGCCATTTTGAATCTGACAACCACATGGTTTACTATGCCGGGAATAACAAATTGAAGAGGAATGGTGTTGCATTTGTTGTCAAAAAAAACATATCCAGATCAGTCATGAGGTACAATGCTGTCTGTGATAGGATAATATCCATGCGCCTACAGGGAAGCCCAGTTAAAACCACTATTATTCAAATTTACGCACCAACCACTAAAGCCAGTGAGGATGAAATAGAAGAATTCTACCAACTTCTTCAATCTGTAGTTGATCAAACACGCAATCAAGATGTATTGATCATTACTGGTGATTGGAATGCAAAGATTGGAAACAAAGAGGAAAGATCAATAGTTGGAAAATATGGCCTTGGTGATCAAAATGATGCTGGAGATTGCATGACAGAATTCTGCAAAATCAATGACTTATTCATTTCAAATACTTTCTTTAGACAACATAAGAGATGAGATGATTATACACATGGACCACACCAGATGGAATACACAGAAATCAAATTGACTACATCTGCAGAAAGAGATGATAGAAAAGCTCTATATCATCAGTCAAAACAAGGCTGGGGGCAGATTGTTGAACAGACCATCAATTGCTCATATGAAAATTCAAACTGAAGATGAAGAAAATGAAAACAAGTCCACGAGAGCCAAAATATGACCTTGAATACATCCCACCTGAATTTAGAGATCACCTGAAGAACAGATTTGATACATTAAACACTAAAGACTGAAGACCAGAAGAATTGTAGGATGACATCAAGAAAATCATACAGGAAGAAAGCAAAAAGTCATTAAGAAGACAAGAAAGAAGAAAAAGATCAAAATGGATGTCAGAAGATACACTGAAACTTGCTCTCCAGTGTAGAGATGCTAAAGCAAATGGAAGAAATGAGGAGGTACAAGGACTGAACAGAAAGTTTCAAAGGTCAGCTCAAGAAGACAAAGTCAAATATTATAACAAAATGTGCAAAGATCTGGCGTCAGAAAATCAAAAAGGAAGAACACATTTCTCAAGCTAGGGGAACTGAAGAAAAAATTCAAGACTCTACTTTCGTTATTGAAAGATT